ATACCTATTATTAGCTTGGTTTGTTCAAAAGTTCTGAGTATTAATTATATTATGAACATTTCTAATAATTGTTTTTGTCTTAAAATTATTATTTATTAGTTTTAACAATTATTTTTTTTTAGCTGTAATAAAACTTTTTTAAAATAATATTTTCAATAACTTTTAGTAAAAATATAAAACAAATCTTAAAATATATATATAATTTAAAATATTTAGTAATAAGAGAAAGAAATTTATTTTTATTTTTTAAAGTGCGATATCACAAAATAAATTTATTTTAGTTATTTTTTTTAACGTGCGGTAGTCTTTTGATAATGAATAGAGAAAACAATGAAATTATCTTGATCGAAAAATTAACACAGTAATATTTCATATCATTACCAGTTTTATTGCCTTTAATATGGAGTCTTAGAATTGTATTCAATATACTAATTTACTCTGAATAACTAATTCACTTAGTAGGTTACAATATAAAAATCTTTTCAAAATTTCATCAGAAATGCAAGAAGCAATAAATCAAGAATTACACATTTACTTTACTAAAATTCTTGAGTTATTGTGTAAAGAAAAATTGTCTACAACTAATGTTATTGATTTTCTTATAGATAATTTAGGATCAAGCGATCACTGCGACAAATAATGCCCTAACTGTGAAGAGCAAAATATCAATAATCGAAAGCAAGTTATCTCAAGTTTAGAAATCGTCTTCCTATATTAGCAGAATTACTGAAATAATGTGTTTTTGAATTAGATAAAAGTAATCCAGAACAATCAATTAACTATAAATCATATTGTGTTGAAAGAGAAACTAAAATACTTATTGCCTCAAAAATTAGTATTACTTAAAAATCGTCTGCAGATCAGGAATTTAATATTCCAGAAATTCTATTTCTGATTTTCTTAATATTAATCCGAATTCAACAGTGAATGTTGAAAAAGTTCTTTTCCATATTGAGAAGATTGCAGAAATTAAAGATAGAACTCACAGATGCGTAGCTATTACATATAATAGAATTCTGTATCATCGTAATTAAATTGGTAAGTTTTGCATTATATTTATTATTTAAACATATGGGAACGTTTTCAATAAAATCAAGTCATGAGACATAGTAAATCATATGATCTATAATATAATTTTACTGGAAATGCTTCTATGTATTTACATAACTTTTTTTGGTTATTTAAAGAGACATTAATATCAAGCAATTTGTGATATCCTAAGGCTATAAAATTGAGAATCAACTCACTTACTTCAAGAAATACTATGATCATCATAAGTCTTAGGACTCAGTTTTTAACATTTATCATTAGGCGATAGCTATGAAATTTATGTGACTATATGTCAAGAACCATTATAATCCATTGATAGAAGGATACTTAGCTTAGGTAAAAGAGCAAAAGGAACTACTGTATCAAATGAAATTTAAGCAGGTATAATTTTATTTTTCATTAAAACATTTAATAGACTTATGTTAATTATTACTAAATTTTATTAAATAGATATTTAGTTATTTTCAGACTATCATTAATTATAGAATAGCTATCAGAAGAAATAATCTATTGTTAAAGAGAATCGCAAAGAGAATTTTTTTGCCAGTATAGTTAGCATGACGCCATCTAATATACTATCTAATAGAAGTTGCAGATAAAGTATAACTAGTGTTCTACACGGATCGGATCAGATCAGATTTGAACAAAATCTGATTCGATTTGAATCTGACAAATCTGAATCTGTATCCGTATCTGACGGATCCAAAATTTTTTTTAACAAAATCTGCCTCCACCATTTGGAATAGCGTTTTAATATTAAAAAATAACAATTTTGTTGTTTTTTTAATAAAAATATGCCTCTGATGTTCATATCGGCATTTTTATATAAAAAATTAATAAATGTCGCATCTGACTTTCAGGATGTTTTTTATTATTAAAATTAAAATTTTTTTTAATAATAAATGCTACATCCAACTTTTGAGGCAGAATTTATTATTAAACATTAATTTATTTAATAATAAATGTTGTGTCTGACTTTTGGGGTGGCATTTTATTATTAAAAATTAATTTTTTAATAATAAATGCTGCGTTCAACTTCAGGGTGGCATTTTTTATTTCAAATCTAACAAATCAGATCTGATTCCAAATCTGAATCTGTCATATTGAATCAAATCCAAATCTGAATCCAATCCGGATCTGACAGATCGAATCAAATCAAAATCTGAATCTAAATCTAATTTGAATCTGATAAATCTGATTCGATCTGATCTGTTAGATCCAGATCAGATTTGGATTGAATTGGATTTTTTGCGAAATACTAAGTATAACTGATGCAACTTGATCCAATCATATGGGATATTATAGAAAAGAATTGTGTGGTATCCTGATCAGAACTTTTTAATCAGCATTAAGAATTAGATGTGATTTTGAAAGAGGTAAATAAGATCCTAAAAATATTGATATCTCTAATTCTACAGATATGTCATTGGAAAATAACTGCACGGAATTGTAAAAATTTCCTTCAGGTAATTTATTATATTTGAGTTTAATAACTTAAATTTATAATTATTTATTATTTAATGAAATATTTAGTTGTGAAACAATTTTTTTAAGCCAATTAGATATAACGATTTTCAAACAAGTGGCCCAAAAACCCAACTAGGATCAATTATAGAATATCAAAGATTTAGAATTCATTTAAGACAAAACAATTTTGTTAACTCTACAGAATCAAGAACTATTTGTAAAAGCTTAGGAAAAGAACATGAATTAAGTGAACAGATGACAAATTTTACCAGTTTAGCAAAGCAAGCTCAAAAAGAATTTATTACTAAAGTCTTTTATAATAATAGTTCAATTTTTTTTTAGCTAATTCTGATTACTAAACAAGAAGAAGTCACGTAAAAGTTGAAGCAAATATGACTAAAGCAGAAATCATTTGTAAGATTGAAGCTTTTCTTGAACAAATAAACAAAAGTATTCAAAAAAAGTATCTTAGGATTAAGTCTAATAAGCATAATAAATTATTGATTATATTAGAAGAAGTAAAGTCTTTATTTAATTCGGATAATGAACATGATAATAGTGATTGTTTTGATAATCCAGAAATATAAAAGAATGAAGTTAATTTAATTGATACAGCATTTATAAAGAAGTATATTGATCACATGTGTAAAATTAAAAATATAAAATAAATAATTATGCCTTTTTTTTATTATTTCATATACTTTTTGTAATGATTTTAATAAATACAAAAGGTTTTTTTTTATGATATACATTTCTTTACATTGTCAAACTATCTTATAAATTTAACTTATATACAATTATAAAAAAAGTTTATTATAAAAAGAAGTTCAAGCATATGCAGAGATGTATATTTTCGATGTTTCAAACATTTTGAGACTGTCTCACACTATGTCCTAAAATGTCTCACATTAAGTCCTAATGTCCCAGGCCATGTCTCAAAAATGTTCTATAACAACACTGCATATGGGAGGCAATCAGTAGAAAAGGAGAAATCCAAATTTTGGTCAAAATTTATATTATTAGATCACTTAGCTGATCTTGATCATGTGCACAAAATTAGCTTAATAATTAAAATTAACAAAAATTTTGGATTTCCCCTTTTCTATTGACCGCCTCTTATATATGTAAAATTATATAACAAATTTTAGAATAGTCTAGAACTTTCTGATTGACAATTTTATACCATAAAAGGAATGATCAATATCATTCATTTTTGGTAAAATCCCTGACTGTATTTATAAAGAATTTAACATTTTTTTTTAATTTTGCAGGCAAATTTGCTTGCTAGATAATCTAAGAGATAAAACCTGTCATAATTGCTACTCTATTATTACCAAAATGTCTTAATTTAGTTATATTTAAAATGATCAATGCTTGACTGCTATCTATTTGATGCATAAATCCTTCTTTAATACTTTATTGACTCAGATCTTTTGTATTTAATGCTTTTTCATGCTTTTTCAATACAATCTTCTTTTAGCTATTCTGAACCAACGGTTATCCATATCCTGCATCTTTGCATATTTTACAAAATAAAACGTCTTTTTCATTTTTTTTCATAATAAAGCCATTGATATTTTAATAACCAAGTTGGATTCCATTTAAGATTATCTTTATTTAAACATATATTTATTTTTTTTGCCTTTTTTTTATATTATTATTTAATTTCTTTACTATTAATATCAATATCTTCAATATAATTATTTTCTGTATTTTTATTATTTTGAATTCTTTTTTTTTTGCTATTTCACTATTTTTGGAGTTATAGTCAAGCAAGTATTTTAATATAAGTGTACACTGAATAAAGGTTTCGTATTTTTCAAAAAACAAAAAGGGTACAAAATTTGAACCCTGTTTAACAATTTTCTAGAAACTTATCTACGCCACGGTAATTATTTAATCGTTTTTGTCTTTACTTAGATATAACGGTAAACGACTATACCACGTAAAACACTATGTGGTCAAAATTCGTTGGCCAGTTAAAGAATGCCAACCCACAACCTCTTTCAGCAATTTTTGGTACACAAACAGTTACATCAACACCGCCAGTATTTAAGTCACCTGAAAAACCGTCTGTAAGAAGAAGAGCATCTAGCGTAAGCTCGGCTAAATATCGTCAGAGCGTAATTTTCGGTCATAACTTAGAAAATGAGGCTTTAGAAAAATCTAAACTTAATACACGAAAAACGTGAGTTTCGAGAAGTTATAAAATTTAGATCTCGCGATATTACAGGTCGAATGGTAAAATGAAATAGCGCATGATACTGTTATGAAGGATAATTTTCTTTATATTATAATGCAAATCTATTGTATAATAGATTGCGCGTCATTTTACTATTCGACCCATTGATCTTAATTTTGCATTTTGTTAGCCTTTTCAAAAACGCGTAAGTTTTCTTAACATCAGTGATAATTCGGTTTGATGGTGCGTTAGAATCCCCCCAGAGCAGCAAAATGATCTACGTGTACTCTTTCAACAATGGGAAAACTCTATTGACGAAAAGGTATTATAATTAGTTATCGTTAAAAAATATATTGTAATAGATACTATGAAAGTTAATCCTAATTATATATTATTTTTTTTTGTTGATTAGGAACGAAACGTATTATTAACTTTAACCTCACGCAAATTTTGTGATATATTTGTCGAAGCTCCAGACTTACTTCAAGAGAGGTGATTTTAAACAGTAATTATGTAACACGATGAATTTAATCACAATAATTAACGCGTTTATTTTAAATAGTTTTGAAGGCCTTGTTTTCTTTACCGATGTTATATCAAAATATTTGGTTTTTCACATTCGCAATGCACTTCCAACGGAGAAAGATTTTAAGGCTAGTCAAAGTAATATGACATTTTATTTGCCTGATTTAGGTTGCATAACATATTGTTAATGTGATTACTTTTTTTTTTTTTTTTTGTTAAAAGACCTTTTACAGATTTTGTCTGATGAAAATCAATTATTTTTATTATTAAAAGCTGTTGATATATTGTGTTTTGGACCTGTATGTATTAGATTACAAGTACTGAGTTTTACACGTTTATTAGATATGTGCGATAATATTAAAGGATATATTTCCACTATACGTATATTATTTATTTATAATATAGAAATTAATGAAAAATATTGAGAACTCAATTCTGTCTGTCGTTACTTAATTTTAGGAATTGGTATATGAGATTATGTCCGTAAACGAACTTCCTTCAGTCTTGATCTATACTTTACAATGTTTCATAGAAAATGACTCGCAAGAATTATTGCCAAAATCTAAAGATGAAAGCGAATCACCATCAACGGATACACCAGTGTTTGCTTCTTTAAATTTAGTATCTGATATCGTGACGGATATTCTTTATTATTTTATAACAAAACCGATAATTTTGAGTCAATTGATTGAACAAGATTTATTATTCTTATTAGTTACAATGACAATAAGTAAAGGAAAAACCGTGTATACTGATGATGAGCATTCTATTATTTGGGAGGATAGGTATTATTAAAGAATTGTTTTTTCATTACTTAAAAATTATATCTATTCCATTGTTAATTTATTATTTCATTATAGAGCACTTGAGATTTTTGCTGGTTTATTTGATTCCAATATTATAAATGAAAGATGTTTAAATTATTTTAAGAGTAAAAACATTTTAGGTGCACTTATGAAAGTGTTGACGGATAATATTGATTATGAAGGAAATAGATTTATTAATAGTCCACAATTAATATATGCCGGTTCATTGCTTGTCGACTTAATACAGGTTAGTCGACTTTATGGTGATTGATTATGAAAATTATTTGTTAAATTTCAGTTTACACAAATTTAAATAGGGTACATATAAAAATACCTTAATGTTTTTGGAAGAATTTTATAATTGTAAGGGGTATGATACCTTTTTCAAACTACTCATATTACCGCCATTTGATGGAACGATCACTAAGGTAATTTATGATTATAACCTTTTATTTCAATGTTTTATTTAAAAATACGTTTAAAACGTCATTAATTTAGGACACGTTAATAACGCTGGCCGAGGATCTCGTATTCTTCGGAACGGATGCTTTAAAATCTATCGAATCAAATTTGTCACCTTATCAACATAGCGGTAATTTTCAATTCAACGATTTTATTAAATTATAATTTAATCTAAATTTCTTTATTTCTTTTAGATTTTAAATTACCTCCAGGATCTAAGGAAGATGGTAAATGATTTATAATCTTTTTATGGTTTTTTATGTTTTATTTTATTAATTTTTACCCTTTTTTCTTTAAGTATCTCTTTTTCGTAATGAGAACGCATTTCAAGTTCTTGTATCCGCTCTTTTATATCCGGAGTCCACATCAAATTTTCATTTTGACTCACTAAGTTTCAATTCAGATATTATTCCCGATATTTTCCGTCAAAAAATAGTTGTTGCTATCGCCGAAGTTTTCAAATCAAACTATTTAAATTATTTTTTGACAGAGTCCTTAAATGTCTTGCCAACTTTAATTGAGCATTTGGATATATTTAGTTCAAAAGTTCAGGTTAGAAATAATATTCCACCTATATATCAAACGGGAGTCTGTATTTTAATTTCTTTTCCTCACAATTAACTTTAATATGAATTCATAGAGGTCAATTTTGGATTTATTGGTTTTTGTCATGGTCGATTTAAATTATGTGCCATTCAAGGAATTAGTCATGTTATCTTTACATTTTCAAGGCATGTACTTATTATCTCAATTATATGTAATTTTTCATGTATACAACTATTTTTTAATATTTAATTTTTTCTTTAATAAAGGTCAGTCCTTGAAGAATACGACAGCTATTGTATGCGAAACTGTTATTGCACTTTTACAGACTTCTTCAAAATTTAAGGATGTGTTTCGCGAAATTGGATTATTAAATATGTTATGTAGCCTTCTTCAGGAATTGGCAACTACATTACAGAATAGATTCGGAAATACACATTTTGTTAAAAGAATATCTATTTCACAATTATCAGATGTATCAGATCAACAAAATAAAGATGTACACAGAACAAAAAATCGATTTGGTCCTGAAGTAATTGAGAATTTTCAATTAATAGCAGAATGTCTGATTGAATTATTGAAAGGTAACAAACCGAATCTTACCTTATTTAGTGTCACGTAAGTAATATTATTAAATGATTAACATCTCTCTTTTGAGGAAATTATTTTATTATTATTATTATTTTTTTTAATTGAATATACTTTAATTTAACGATTTACTCTAGATACAAAGGAAATTTATTAGATTTACTACATTACGATGAAACTCGCGATGGCGCGTTAGCTATCTTTGAAACTTTAGTTGTAGAAAGTTATATTTTATCTAATATTGAGCCCCATACTTCAAAATCAGCGAAAACAATTTCTTTAACTTCGACCATAGAACATTCATTTCAATTTGGGAGGTTGGTCGAAATCGTACAGTCACTTTCTCGATTTGATCTCAAAATGAAAAAGCATATTCTTTGGTCTATGAGGCGAATCTTAATAGCATGCCCCGAAATGAAGGATGTTTTTCGTGATACAGGGGGTTTTGTATGTCTCATAAGTTTATTAGTAGGGTTGGAGGATGTATATAATCTATGGGTTAAAGATAGCGAGATTAAAGATAATTTTCAAGTTGATAATGATGTTAAAATATCAAGAAAAAGTAGGCAATCGTTCGAAATTGATGAACCTCCCACGAAGGATCAAGCAGTCGAAACCCTAAAAGCTATTTTTTTTCTTTGTGCCGAAGCGCTTTCAGGTCATGATTCAAATCGACGATTTTTTAGCACTTCAATTGGTTTCAAATCTATGGAGGATGCAATCATTCTTACTCACATCCTTGAACCTAATGGTTCCGCAGAAAATATTTTTGGAATACTTTTTGGATTTACCATTGAAAATGAAGACGTTGCTGATGTATTCGTTGGATCGACTTATAATGGAGTCGAACAACCTAAAGAAGAAAATTCTCCAAGCAGAATTGTTAAGATGTTTGGCAATATGACTGATGAAATTAGAAATCCTAATGTCATTCCTACTATATTAAATCTGCAATCATATGTGTGTTATAATGAAAAGTTGAATTCAAATATTTATGAGGCATTACTTGCTCTTGCCTTTGCCAATCGTAGAAATCAAGTAATGTTAAATAAATCTGGTGTGTTAGAAATTGTTTTGAGGCGTCTTTTTCCTGTTCATAAAGATAATCAAAAGGAAGAAATGGATAATAAAATACAGATTCCTATAATTGAAAGACAATTTTTGAATAAATTGGCCCAGAGACTGGTTGAAATGGGTGTTTCTACTAAAGAAATCCGATTTTTATTTGAGCAGCTTGAAAGTGGAAGTCAACAGCCTGAAGAAATGAATGAGGGCAACTTAATGAACGTGATGGATATGGTTTTATTGGGGGTTCAAAGAAGTCGTTGGCCTAGGTTTGTTCAGTTTGATATGAGTCAGTTTGGATTTTCTTGCTTGGAAATGAACAACCTGAGTGATCGACAATTTCCGCCGGCTAATGGGGGGTATACATTTATGACTTGGCTTATTATTGAAAATTTTGATTCAAAAGTCAATTTGACACTTTTAGGCTTGAGTGATGATGAAAAGCGTTGTTATTTGCAAATATATTTTGAAGCCGAAACTCATAAGCTTGTTGTTCAAACTTCACCGAAACAATCAATTCGATTTGAGAGTTATGAATTTAGAACAGGTTGTTGGTACCAAATTGCTGTTGTTCATAACCGACCGCGTTTAGGGTCATCTTCCTCAATGTCTCTATATGTTGACGGTCGGTTTATAGAAAAAACATCAAAGTGTCCATATTTAGGTCAACCTGCAGCTAATAGTTCGATAAGAACTTTTATAGGAACACCAAAAGATTTTGCTCGTACTTTGGGCAAAGGTGAAACAATGCTTGCATGGGATCTCGGACCATGTTATTTTTTTGAAGATGATTTAGATGGTGATATAATTAGTGTATATTATCACCTTAGTCCTCGTTATTCTTCAAATTTCCAAGATTCTCTAGGACAATTTCAAACTTATCAAACATCAACACTTCTTAATATGAGACTTGAGGCTTTAACTCGTCAGCGAAAGGATGCGAATATTGAATTGGATCATTTGGCTATGGTAAATGCAATTCGCGGAAACAATAGTCAAACGTTACCTGAAGAAAAAATTATCTTTGCTTTTAACGCAAGTAATGTGCTTGTATGTGGTCAAAATGCTAGTATTCTAGGATCAGGACTATCTGAAGGAACATCACAAGCATTAACGCTTGGTATAGGCAACACAAAAGTAATTCTTAATGCCGCTGTGCCCAAGGTAGAGCGAGCTTTGCTAGTACCACACGGATTAGCCTATTTATATGGTAATCCAGTTACTGCAATTCCTTATGGAATGGACGATTCAATTTGGAAAATAGGAGGTTCTGCTGTAGTTTTGAGATTAATAGAAAGAGCAGAGGTTAAGAGCGATTTCCTAATCTTAAATTGATAAGTTGAATCATTAATTTTATACTAATTATTTACATTTAACGTTTGTAATAATATAAAGACGGCAAAAGATCTATACAAGACAGTTTGCATACTAATTGAGCTTATTAGATTCAGCTGGAGAAATTCCGAAGATATGGAAAGAATTCATGGTTATGAAATTTTAGCTTATTTACTAAAACAAAAACATGGTCTTTTGACATACGAGCTTTTGAATTTATTACTTGTTTTTGTCGGTTTAAATCCAATTAATCCAATGTAAGTTTATGAATCTTCATCGTCATCATTTTGAATTATATCAAAGATTTCTATATTTATTTTATATTCGATAATTAAGGGATTCGGTCATCATCAATCCACTTGCCTATCGATATCTTATACTTGATTTTGATCTTTGGAGACATGCTGACGAGAATGTCCAACGTGCTCATCTTATGCAATTTGCAACATTTATTCAATTAAGTCAACATCATCATTTTAATGCCAAGCGTTTAAGTAAAATGCGTATCCTTTTACTTTCTACTTATTGATTGTGAATTATCCATTTTACATTTAAATATCCTTGACCATCAAAATAAAACTGAAGATGTTGTAAAAAAAATGTTAGTGGCTTTAAAATTGAACGTTTATCCGAAGGATTTGTTGATTGATTTCATTTCGACATTAAAGATTGTTGTTAAATACAACTTTACAACAGAAGTTATTAGGTCGATAGCAACCTTTTTGGTATCTACTCTTAATAAGCGTGAGTATTTGGTTATTATTATTATTATTATTTTTTATTATTTTTTTGAATTCACTTTTATTGTTAAATTATGAGCAGCAAATAAACGATTTGCCCCTGCTCCTCGTCGCGAATCCCCTCTTAAAACCGGAATGGGTTCTACTTTTGCTCATGAAAATGTGATGGGAAAATCATCTGTGAAAAATATAGTAACGGATGTTAGAAGTTTACCGGTAGATACCACGGCCAAACATATTGGTGTTTTAGTCATGGAGATGCTTGCCGATATTCTTTGCGATAAAATGAATCCTTTTTACGTTAACAAATTTTCTACAACGATTACGAACAAATGGCCATTACTTTTTTTTAATGAAGACTCTAATCCATTTTGGGTTGTTTGTACGGCTAGAATTTTAGCTAGATTATTTCATTCTCAAGGCTCTAATTATATTTCAAAATTTCGCACTTCATCAGAAGGGTTCATAGTAATGCAAAAATTACTTCCACAATGGTGGTATCTTACACAATTACAACATGCATTACTTGCTATGCTTTTCGGTACTGATATTTGTGACGTCCCTTTCGATGCGTCATTTGATCTCTTTCCACTTTTGACTTTTTATAAAGACAAGGATAACTCGGCTCGCATTGTATGTTCGGATGTTATGCAAATTATTTTGCTTACAATGAAGGAAGGTATTAATACAATAGTTCAATTGAGTTACGATGTAGAAAAAGATTTCAAATTTAGAGGTAGAAATCAAGACGATAATATGATTCACAAAAATAGGATGGAAGCTAGAGATCTTAAAGTTTCTTTAGATAAGGTTTCGGAAGTTCTTGAAGGTGAAGTTTAATAATTTGCTTAACAAATTAAAAGATAAATGAATTTTTCATTTAAATATTAAAAGTTTTATTTATTTATTCAGCCGAAAAAATCAACGAAGAAATTAAAGATACTTTGTTTAGAGTTTCTCGTATTTACCAGACACTTATAAATTTTCTCACTGACATGTATCATAATTCTACAGAATTCAGTGAACTTTGCGTCAAGTGTGAAATAATGGACAATTTCCTTGAAATTTTATTCCCGATTGTTTGTTCTTGCGATGAAGTCTCGATAGAAACCGAACTATATTCAAAAAATTTCGGATATGAGGTTGACATTGATGCGGCTTTTGAAGCTCACATAAATAATGGAGTTTCTGGTATAATTCCGATCCTTGCAAGTATATCAACACAGCCAATTCAATATATTGACGATGAACCTGCAGAAGAAATGACTTCCATTTCAAGTGGAAGTAATTTATTGAATATCTTAACTGATAATCTAACATTAAGCCCTTCATTATCATCGCCATTACGAGCAAGTCCATTACAAAGCGATACAGAAGATGATCCTATATTTAATTATAATGTACCGACCACAATGAGTCCCAAAGAAAAGAAACCAGATTATGCCGAACATAAGAATGCGGCAGTAGAAAGCCTTCTTGAATTTATTGTTTCAATATGTGTCAATTCTATTGTTGACCCCAAAGTTAAACCTTTGGCAGGTTTTGAGTGTGTTTTAAAAGTATATATAAACATTTGATACATTTCATTTGTTTGTCTTGTTTTATTCTTTATAAGGTTAAATTCAAAATTTTATTTTCAGTCCTTTCCTCCATCTTTATTAGAACATCAGGTATATGAAATATTTTATAATCGCAACCATTTCTTGATACATTCTTTATTATTTGCTAACAAATCAAATCATGTTCTTAGATAAAATTCGAAAGTTACATTTTGCAACACGTCGTGGGGTGTCTTAAAACCACCTTGCAAATTGACAAGAATTTGTTGATGGACCAACGTATAATAGCAAATGTTTCTAGATTTTCACAGATTGCAGTGGATGCATTATACCAAGGTTCAAAATTATCTTATTATATGCCATTATCTAAATTTAGAATATTAATTCAAATTATTTAACGTTAGGATGGTTTTTGGACGGACGAAATCAAATGTTTGGTTTTCTTACAATTGTTCTTGAGGGAATTCAACATACCGATGATGCTATCGGAAAACGTTCTAGTGATCAATGTATAAATTCATTGTATCGTTCTCTGAATAGAATTATTTTGTTTGGTTTATCAGAAATCGATCAAATGTCAATTGATGCAAGTATTATTGATGAAATTCTTGACAAAATCATCTATCATCAAAAAGTCATATTCAGTCCATATAATACTGATATTGATTTTTTGAAATGTTTATGCTATCATCTATATAAATGTTTACTTTATGACAATCAAGAAATCAGGACTACATCAACAAATGTATCCTTTTATTGTATACTTATGATTAATTGTTTTTCGGTTACGGTTTTTTTTTATTTTTCCTATAATCAGAAATAAATATTATTTTATAGATTTGGAAATTATTAATGCTTCAAAAACAAGTTGAAATGTCTGGGATTTTGAAGACGCGTATAAGAGGAATTGGTATATTTATAAAATATTCTTTATTCTTCATTGTTAATTCATACTTTCCATTCTAATTTATGATATTTATTTACTCACTATATTTTAGAACACAAAGAATTGATAGAAGGATTTTCAAAGCTCCTAGAAATGGTGAAGTTCATGTTATCCAAGCTGTTTGTAACATAATATATGGTATAAAGTTTGGGTATTTATTTGTTTTTTTTTTCTCCTGAATTTTAGGACACGGTTTCATTTCTGGACTGGATTGACTCTCGTAGGATTCAATTAGATGCTTTATTTTTTGAAAATATATCAAAGATATTAGAATCTATAATCGCAACTGAAATGAAGAATAGCAAAGAAACAATCAAAAATGTTCATTCAAAGCGAATGGGTAAACTCAAGCGTATACAGAAAAAGGTCACAGCTGAACAAGAATTCTTTAACCATTATCGCGTTAGGACTAATAGGTGGTCAAGGCACATTCAAGAAATTGAAACTGGACGATATTATAAATCCATTCAAGATAATATCGATCTCTACAATTATGTTAGGGATGAATGGACAAAAACATCTGCGGACTTATTCCGTGAGCGTGCTCTTTGGGGTTCAAAAACTGTTGATGCTGAGGCCAAATGGAGATTAGATTTCACAGAAGGTAAAAAAAGGATTAATTTTTACAAAGATTTTTTTATTAACTTTATACATTTACACAATGAATTTAAGGTCGATGCCGTATGCGTAAAAAATTAGAAAGGAACGAAACCTTGCGATTGCACACATATAAATCGAAGAGTAATAAACATGAGAATTTAGCAAAAGAGGTATGTTGTATCGCTACTAAGATTGTGAAATATTTAGATTGAATTTATATTTATTTTTAGAATACAAATGAGAACGCACCTTCATCTCCTGTAACGAACAGTCCTATTAAATCATCCTCATGTAAGTGTTTAATTGAAACTGTGAAAATTTATGGCATAAAATAAGCTAAATCAAGTTGGTTATATGTTATCAAAAATTAATAAATTAATAAATTAAAGCTTTGGAGGTACCTGGCCTTAATAAAAGAGGTATTGTAATAAAGAAAAAACTTTTTTTCTTTTTAAAAAAATAATTATGTTAAAGTTTATTATGCTTTATTTAAGGAAAATCCCCAGATCGTTCTATGACCCTTACACCAAGTACCAGTGATTTGGAGTCATTTCCTGCTGATGACGTTGATTCTGTTGGAAATAGTATGCATTCTTGTACAATATAAATAAAATTAGTATAATTAATTTTGTCTGATTTCTTTTTCTTTATTCTCTATCCAATTAGGTCAATACACCGAATCACAAGCAGAAGTTGATGAAGAAACCGCATATGAAGAGGACAAAAACCGCAAAGTGTTAAGGTCTTTAGAACATGGAGACTCTGTCTTAGATATTTTTAATATAAGTCATATCATCGGATTGGATGCTTGTGGTAATTATATTGAAACGGATTAATTATGTACATGATGAGCTTTCTCTAACATTTTTATTTTCAATATTTTTTTAGAGAGCCTTTTACTTTTATGTAAACAAAATTTGTATTTAATAGATAATTATTTCCAACGTTTAGATGGTGAAATTGTTGATATTTGGGATGCACCCATTAAGGTTTTTATTTAAAAAAACATTATTTGATTATCTCGGATATATTAATTAAAATCTAAAAAAAAAAATTTATTGAAAAAGGAACGGGATCAATATTTACAAATGTTAGCAGCACACGCGGGATATGATAGCAATACTAGTGTGAAAGAGAAGAAACACAAGAGTCGACGATGGTATCTACCTAAAAATGAATTGTTCTTTTTACTTAATGTGCTTAATGTCCTAATATTTGACTGAAAATTGCTTGTTTATTCGTAATAAAATTGAAGGGCTTTTGATGATATTAAAGAAGTCCATAAACGAAAATTTTTATTTAGGTAATTTTTTCGTTCGCAGAATAATATATTTTGTTTTAAATTGTATAAATTATCTTCTTACACTAAAATTTTTATTTTCAACATTAATATATAGGGACGTGGCACTTGAAATATTTTTCGCTGATGGTCGAAATTATCTGATAACTTTCTTTTTGGATGAAAGAGATGTAGCATATAATAAACTTGTTGCTCGAGCTACATTTTCAATAAGTGGTTCTGAATCAGTTATTGGAACTTCAGCCTTAGATGTGATGTCACCGGTCGCTCCGTTAACTATTGGCTCTTCGAGTGGCTTGTCATTCAAATTGGCAAATTTTAATTTTTTTGCAAATTCCTCACTATCAGAATTGACTTCACGATGGGAAAATAGGGAAATATCAAACTTTCAGTATTTAATGCATTTAAACACACTGGCTGGACGATCGTACAATGGTATGTTTACGACTATTTTGTTTTTTTTTTAAAAAAAAAAATAATTTTAACGTTTATCCTCATCATTTACATTAATTTGTTATAGACCTTACGCAATATCCCGTTTTTCCGTGGATTTTAGCCGACTATACTAGTGAAGAAGTAGGTTTATTTTATTTTATTTTTTTTAAACAAGAAATTTAGTTATATATCGTATTTGATTTTTTTTTATTTTTTTTTAGCTGGATTTAACGAATCCAGCTACTTTTCGCGATTTGTCAAAACCTATGGGAGCTCAAACAGAAGAACGAAAAAGTAATTATTATCTTATTAAAAAAAAAAAAACTATTTATTGCCTAATTGTTTTGTGTATAACTTTATTTTATTCAACTTGTAGAGGAATTCCAAACTCGATATCGTTCTTTTGATCCAACTGCAAATGCAACTACACCAGCGTTTCATTATGGAACGCATTACTCATCTGCAATGATTGTTTGTTCATATCTAATACGACTTGAACCATTTGTCCAGCAATATTTAAAACTTCAAGTAAATTTTATTTTAATAAATTTTTTTTTTTAAAAAAAGAAAAATTTAGTTAACACACTATTCTTTCAAATTTTATTGATACAATAATATTAGGGTGGACATTTTGATCACGCTGATCGATTATTCCACTCTATTCAAAAAGCGTGGTTATCTGCTACACGCGACAATATGAGTGATGTCCGAGAATTAATTCCCGAATTCTTTTATTTACCCGAATTTTTAGAAAATACAAACAAATTCGATTTTGGTATATTTCTATCTGTTGTTTATATTTCCTATGTTGTTGCAGAATTGTAATTTGTTTTTGTTATAAAGGTGTCAAACAAGGAACTGGAGAAGTTATAGATTCAGTCATTCTTCCTCCGTGGGCTCATGGAGATTCCAAAATATTTATACATAAACATCGACATGTTCGTATATAAAATATCCGTTATATTTTTTATTATGCTTCAAATATCAATTATTTATACTCGTAAATTTTTAGGCTCTTGAAAGTGAATATGTAAGTGCACACCTTCATGAGTGGATAGATTTGATTTTTGGTTATAAGCAACTAGGACCACCGGCAGTTGAAGCCATAAACGTTTTCCATCATCTTTCTTACGAGGGAGCAATAGGTAGAATTACCCTCTATTCCTTTTGCATATTTTATGTGTGCATGTATGCTAAATTTCATCGTGTTAAAAAAAAGATTTGGATGCCATTACCGATCCTGTTGAACGTTCTGCATCAACCGGAATCATTCATAATTTTGGGCAAACACCACGTCAATTGTTCACTAGACCTCATCCCGCAAGATTTCCCGAATCATATGATCCTGCTAATGGTATAGGGTTATATAAATTCCATGAAAATGTGAACAAATTAATTCAGTCAATACATCCATTGATAGGTAATTGTTAATTAGTGTATCTTTGTAGTGTATATATTATATACTTAATTGTTAATATTTTAATTATTCAGACATTCGATTACAAGTGCATGATATTCGTTTAACAAGTAATGATCGCTTAGTAGCGGTTAGCACACAAAAAATCTTGGTACCTCCTAATTACACACATTATGTTGAATGGGGTTACGCTGATAATAGTCTTCGACTTCATCAATCAGAAACAAGAAAGGTTTGTCTTAAAAATAAGCATATATGTATAAATAGGTTGCGTGTATCTTAAAAAAGTTTTTATTTATAACACTGTTCTATAGCTGGTGGGATTATATGAGAATCTTCATTTGGAAGCTGTAAGCTGTGCATGCTTTGCAGATGGAAGAACGTTTATTACTGGTGGTACAGACGCGGTAAGTGAAGTTTAATGATAAAATATTTATTCTTTAATAATAACATTTTTTTGAGATTTTTGTTTATTTATTATATTAGGTTATTTGCATCTGGAGATTAAAATGGCAGACAAAATCTCCTGAATTTCGGTTTATCGAATGTTTGCGAGGTCATTCGGCAAAGATTAATTGTGTTACAACTTCGAGATCTTATAGCATCATTGTTAGTGGATCAGATGTAAGTAAACTTAGTATAAAGTATAAATTCATTAATTCGGAATTAATAATAATCATTATTATTATTTTCAAAGGATCAAACTTGTATAATTTGGGATTTGAATAGGAAGAAATACGTAAGGCAGTTACAAAATCATGAAGCAGGAGTTCAAGTAAGTATTTATAAAGAAATTTAAATGTAATTATTTTGCTAATTTTATTTATTTATTTATTTATTTTAGTTTGTCGCAGTCAATGATGCTACGGGAGATATTGCCACATGTAGTGGATCATTTATTAGGATATGGACTGTTAATGGTGATCTTTTATTAACTAAAAACACCTCACAACCTCCAGAACCTATCCTTTGTTGTACTTTTTATGAAGTAAATTTTTTTGTTTTATGTAAAAATTTTTCGGGTTTATTACAAATACTGATTTTTTTTTTTATAATTGTTTAGGGAAAACAAAATGAATGGTTTTACCAAGATTTAATCGTAACAGGACACAAGAAGGGAGTAGTAAAAATATGGAATAAAACTTTGGAACACAAACCTTTATCGAATTATGGTGAAAAGAATGGTATTTGTAATTGATAAAAAAAATTCGTTTTTTGTTTTGTTTTAGAACATCTATAATAAAAAAAAATTTGTTATTTTTAATTATTAGTTAAATGGGATCTTTCATTAAGACATCAATTAAAGCATGAAAATAGATTAACATTAGATATAGTGGCATTGTTGGTTTCTGGAACGCAGCGCATTCTCTATAGTGGAGATTCATCAGGGAAAGTTTTTGCATGGGTTTTGCCGGATGTTAAAATAGAAACACATTGGATGCCGGATAATCACACGGATAATTGTCTCAAATGTGGAACTAAATTTGCAGTATTAGAAAGGAAAATACATTGTAAAACATGCGGAGGTATTTATTGTTCTGGATGCACACAATCAGGAACAGATAGAAATTCAAGATATTGTGAAAGTTGTTGTAAACAACTAGGGACGACATTTTCATCTTAATGTAATGATTTTAATATTATATATATATATTTATTTATATATATAGAATTACATGTCATTTGTATTTTATTATAAATTATTTGAAGAATGAAGTTTAACTTCATGAAAAGGTTGACCTATCGTGTCTATTGATGTATTACTTTTAGAAGAACTTGCACTTGTTGTTAAGCCATCAAAATCAGTTCCTTCACTAATAGTAGTCGCTATTTCTATTTCTAAATCATCGTTATTATCAAATTTAGGTGAATCAAACGATAGATTATTATTAATATGATTATTCGTTGGTAATAAAACACCGTTCTTTTCTTTGAAATAATCCCAACGATTTTTATAATGTTCATTTACGAAAGGTAAATAATCCCACGCGAACCAAAATGCAAAAACGGCGTATATTCCACCACCAACCAAATCAACCATATAATGATGAGTAAAATACATACAAGCCCACCATATCCACATAATATAAGCAAAGCAAAATAATCTAGATTTTGGAATAATATAAGAAATAAATAATGCTTGAATAATTGCACATCCGGAATGAAGTGACGGAAAAGCACCAAATACCATCGGTGATCCATTAAATGTATTTGTATAAGTATTTGATCCAAATAATTCATCAATACGAGCTAATCCACCTGGATTTCCTGGCATCGTATATTCTGCTGGAGTATTCATCCCATATGTGTATTCATACCATGGTGGGGAACATGGGAATACTAACTGCGTTAAAACACCGGCAAGATTCATATATCCAAATGATCTAGAAAAAATTGCCAAAATACCCGGTGGACCGTACCACCATAATCCTAAGCTCGTTAAGAATGGTAACGTAAAATGTATCACTCCATAAGGTAACCATGCTAATACATCTTTAAACACATTAGTATGTTTAGCTATGATTGCTGATAAATTATCTCCATATAATATGTTTTCCAATGCTGGTAAAACTGATACATAAATGTGAGGTCTATTTGATCCTGGAATAAATCTACACGAATAAAATAATACTAACCAACTCGCTATAGGAAGGAAGGGTAAAAAAAATTTTCGAGGTACTGGAAGATAAAGTCCGATTGCAAATATACAAACTATCAAAAATTTTAAGAAAATTCCCGGAAATTCAATTATCTTAAAAAGTAATATTCCTAAAATTAATAAGAATAAATATTGAAAATCATAAATTGTCCATGAATGATAATATAATTCTGGGGGAATATATCGTTTGGTAAAGCGTAACCAAAAAGACTTCTCAAGTTCCATAAAGAGAATTGTCATATTTTGTATGAATACTATGGTTATTTTTTGTTTTTATATATTTATCAAATTTATTGTCAGTAATTATATAAGTCGTTATATACAATTCATTATCTTTCTTTTTTCAGCCCAATAATTAATTCTATTCATTAATGAAAAGAACAGAATTCGACAGAGTGGGGGGTTATTTTAACGCTAAAAAAAGTGGAAATAAATCTAACGTTTAAAAAAAAATTTCCATTCCCAAGTATCTATTATATAAATATATATACTTTGGGAGTTACATAAATTTTTTTTGTTATATAAAAGGGATAGTAATAATCCCGAAATTATTTAATTTGGCCACAAAAATAGGTTCTTTTTTTCTTTTTTCGAAATGGTTTTGTCATTTTCGCAGATCATCACGGGGGAATTTGATACGTGATTATCGAAAATACCTAATAAAGAAATGTTATTTTTTGATCTACTAATGAAATATGAAAATAAAGGAATCAAAATAATCCATTTGATCATCAAATTTGCGTCACAATGATTTTTTATTATCAAGAAACCTTTACTACTTAATGGAACTACAACTATTTCTAAATCACTCTCCAACTCTATCTAATAGTATTAAAATCAATAATATCAAAGAAAAAAATTTGAAATTAAAATGACCTCACATACCTCAATAGTCACACCGGCAAATCCTCCCCGCCCAGCTCTTAGAGCTACAGACGTGAAAAGTTTTGCTTTCACGACCATAACTCATAGGTGGCCAATTATCATTACAAAAACCATTGATGATGTTTACAAAACTCGTCATGAGCTTGATCCTTCTATAGAACCTGAAAAAATGAAAGAAGGGAAAGATATCATGGATTCAATTGCTTTGTTGAAATACGAATTGCAACGGAAAAAATCATTAAAGTATGTAAAACCAGATAATTTATTCCTTTATTATAAATTAAATTGTTTTTTTTCATCTGATAACTAGACCGATTGATGACGACGGTGTGCCAGATGTTAATACTTGGAGTGAGGTATTTAATAAATATTTCAAAGAAGAAGATTGGCATTCAGCTCCATGGCTTTTCACCGAATGTTATTTATATCGTAGAACTCATTCAATTTTTGCTAATACTAAACATTGGTGTAATTATGATCCATATTTTCGACAAAAAGAAGATACATTTAAGGCATCTTATGTAGCCATAATTGAACTTGCAAAACGTATAGATGAATTAATTTCTAATCCATCAGTACAAGATAGTGAGAAAAGAATTGTGTTTCATGAATTAGCTCTAATAAGTTTATGGGGAAATGCTACTGATTTGTCTTTATTAACAAATTTAAGTCATGAAGATATAAAGAAATTACAAAGCAATGCTAAATCATTGGAAGAATTAGAAAAGAACATTTTAGCAAATGATTTGGAGGAAGTATGGGGTAAACTTTCTCATTACCAACAGAAGAGAATAGATTTTGTTCTTGACAATGCTGGTACGAATTACTCTTTATTCATTAGATCTTTTATTTTAAAAAGAATTACTTAACTTCTCTCATACTATATAGGGTTTGAATTGTATGGTGATTTGATATTTGCTGATTGGTTAATTCAAAGTGGATATGCTTCAGAAATTCATTTGCATGCCAAAGCAATTCCATGGTTTGTCTCAGATACAACTCCGAATGATTTCAATTGGTTACTTGGTGTATTGAAGAATGATTTCTTTTCATCTGTACCTTCCGACGAAAAATTATATCTCGAAAGGTTAGCAAAAAGGTGGCAAGGATTTGTTGATAATGGTAAATGGATTCTAAAATCAGATTATTTTTGGACATCACCTTATGCATATTGGCATCTTAAAGAGCAAGCACCTGAATTATTTTCAGATATTTCTAAATCTTCATTAGTAATTTTTAAAGGTGATTTAAATTACCGTAAATTAGTTTATGATTGTAAATGGCCAACTACAACTTTATTCAAAGATGCAATTGGACCTTTGGCTACTGAGAAAGAGATTCCACCTATTTTGGCACTTCGTACTAGTAAAGCTGATGTTATTGTTGGACTTCCTGAAGGGATTGAAGCAAGATTATCTGCTTCCGAAGCAGATTGGATGTTTTCTGGAAAATATGCTGTCGTTCAATTTAGTGAAGGAAATCAATCAAATTAATCATTTGAATTTGTAATGTTATTATAATATAGAATAATAACTTAATAAAACAATATTCACAACAGAATGAGTGTCATTTTGGGCAAAAATTTCAAAAAAAAAAAAATTGATGTAGGTTTTGATTACCATATATACTTACATCTGAAAAGAGGCTACGCATTTAATTCCCTAACATATACACTAATAAAGCTTCGAGCAACACAGAATATGCTCAGGCGAACTCTATAAATCAATAAATTTGATATTTTAGATTATGCAGAATATGATCCTAAAACAATAAATAAAAGATTAAATGTTAAAATGTTATGCATCAGTTAGCATTGGGATAAATAATTAATTATATAATTATCGTAGTAAGGGTGTATTATTCTGATTGGGAAATCGTAAGACGAGAAAATTTTTATTCCCCAATTCGTTGATTCGTTAATAATAATGTTGAGTATGAAAAAATTAGTTCGACAGCTTATGGTTAATATACTACTACTGCTCTGTGTTAGGAAAAAATATCCTTTTGATATTATTTTCCTAAGTCTTTAGATTAACTAGTATAACGATACCCACTCTTTCATTTTAATGGATTAACTAATCGAGTAACGCCCATCTTCCCATCCTTACAAATCCAGGTCCTTTAAATAAGGCATTTTAATATATTTTTTTTTTTCGTTGAATTTCTTTATTTATACTATGCTTAACGTGTTTGGCAATAATTTTATATTTAGCCAAAGTCGATGCAATTAATAAAACACAATCACGATGATTACAATGAATGTGATTTTTGCGATTATATCTGGTTGATTAATTAACAATCAAAACAATTAGATGTGAAAAATTAAATAAATCCTATTATTCTATTTAACTCATCAAAAAATTATTTTTTGTTTGTCAAAAAAAAAAAAATAAATGCAATAAAATTTCTAAGAAAATAAAAACTTTTTATCACTTACCTTTTGCTTGTTCAAATCGAAAAATATCATCCAAACTGAAAACATTCTGTTATATATATGACTTAAAGTAAAGGATTGTGCAAGATTTCATCATCAAAGAAGTTATGGATGTTATGAAAATAGATGAATATCTTACTAAGGTAACAAACATACTTGCAAATAAAAGCATTCACACTAATAAATGAAACCATCAATCATAAAATTCAACCTTTTAAAGTGGAAATTTATCAGTTGCCCTAACTGATACATAAGCATTTTTATATTTTTTTAAAAAATTATATCAATATGAAAAAAAATTTAACTAAATTATGAAAAAAATTTATATGAAATATATTTATTGTTTTAATCTGTTTAATATCCATCTGAAGTGAATGCTATATTCATAAAAGCTATTTATTTTGATTTTGCTAATATGGGAGGTTTGCTAGGAAAATGGGGCTCTGAGCATTTTTTATTAAATTTTAATATATGTTGCATTTTAATCTAACATTATCAAAAATTAAAATGCAATAAAAATTAAAATTTTAATAAAA